GTGCATGTTGGACTCCGACAGGGCTGCCCTCTGTCACCGGTCCTGTTCATAACTTTTATGGACAGGATTTCAAGGCGCAGCCAAGGACCGGAGGGGGACTGGTTTGGGAAATAGTGGATCTCGTCCCTGCTTTTTGCAGATGATGTAGTTCTGCTGGCTCCCTCCTGCCAAGACCTACAGCGTGCGCCGGGGTGGTTCACAGCTGAGTGTGAAGCGGCTGGGATGAGAATCAGTTCCTCCAAGTCCGAGGCCATGGTTCTCGACTGGAAAAATGTGGCTTGTCCCCTTCAGGTTGGAGGAGAGTCCCTGCCTCAAGTGGAGGAGTTCAAGTATCTTGGGGTCCTGTTCACGAGTGAGGGAAGAATGGAGCGGCAGATTGATAGACGGATCGGTGCGGCTGCTGCAATAATGCGGACGCTGCACCGGTCTGTGGTGGCGAAGAGAGAGCTGAGCGAAAAGGCAAAGCTCTCAATTTACCGGTCGGTCTACATTCCTACCCTCACCTATGGTCATGAAATTTGGATCATGACCGAAAGAAAGAGATCCCGGATACAAGCCGCTGAAATGGGCTTTCTCCACAGGGTGGCTGGGCTCTCCCTTAGAGATAGGGTGAGGAGCTTTGTCATTCGGGAGAGGCTCAGTGTAGAGCCGGTTCTCCTCCACATCGAGAGGAGTCAGTTGAGGACATCTTCTTCGGATGCCCCCTGGACGCCTCCCCCGGGAGGTGTTTCAGCCATGTCCCACCGGGAGGAGGCCCAGTGGACGACCCAGGACACGCTGGAGAGATTATGTCGCTCGGCTGGCCTGGGAGCGCCTAGGGCTTTCCCCAACAGAGCTGGAGGAGGTGTCAGCGGAGAGGGAAGTCTGGGAGTCTCTGCTTAGTCTGCTGCCGCCGCGACCCGGTTCCGGATAAAGCGGGAGACGACGAGTACGAGTACGAATCTAGGCTGTTTTGGAGAAGCTGGGCTGCTTCCAGTATCAATGCTGGTTATAAATAATTGATAATAGAGCTTGTTTTTTGGTGCTTAGTTTCAAACCCAGTTTTCAAAGTCTTCTCAACAATCTGAAAATTACAGCTTTTCCCTTTTTTGCTTTTTTTTTGCAAATCAATGTAGACGTTTGGAAGTAAATCATGTCCTTGTTTTAATGTCTTTTAAACCAATTTTTGCCCAGTGGGTCCTCCCACAACACCAGGTGCCATGTAGATGTTGGTTTTTAGGCTAAATCTGGTTGGTCATTCATAGTGTTGATTTAGTCCAGAAATTGGTGTTGAAAGTTGGACTGTGTTGGGTTGGTCGGAATTGTGTCAGTCTACACATTTTTTTAAGACCTCCTAGACCTCCTGAGGGACTGGGTGGGTGTTAGGGGGACTGCTCTGCCGTGGTTTAGATCCTACCTGTCAAAGAGGTCTTTCTTTGTCAGGGCGGGGGACACCACGTAGCCATCTGCCCCACTTTATTGTAGAGTACGTCAGGGTTCTATCCTGGAACCTTTATTGTTTGTGCTTTAGCACTTCCCTCTCAATGAGAGTTTTACTAAATATGGTATAGAGTACCCATTCTATGCAGATGATTGTCAAATTTATTTGCCAATTGATAAAAACAGCCACTGCCCCATGAAACCCCTACTTGACACTGTGGCTGATGTTAAGGCTTGGTTATCAAACCATTTTTTTTTTTAAACCAAATGAGAGCATAACAGTGGTGATGGTGTTCGGCAATGCCATCTCTGACTTGGGATCTTTCAAGGATTTTGTACTTTCCAAAGTAACCAGCCTTGGTGTCACTATAGACAGTGACTTTAAACTGAACAAAAAAGTAAGCAGCGTTTTAGAATTGTCTTATTATCATCTCTGTCTTTTATCTAAGGTAAAACCATTTTTATCTTTTAACCTCTTTGAGCAGGTTTTGCACTCTTTTATTTCTAGCCGTCTAGACTACTGCAATGCACTTTATTCAGGTTAGCCAACAGGCCCTCTCCCCTCTGCAGTTGATCCAAAATGCAGCAGCTCGTCTTTTAAGGGGGACCAGAAAACATCAACACAATGCACCAATTCTTGCGTCTCTGCACTGTTTGTTTTAGAATTAATTTTAAGATTTCATTGTTTGTGTTTAGAGCTCTGAATGGGATGGCTCCTCACTACATTACCAACTCCTCTAGATTTAATCTCCAGCAAGTTCTCTGAGGTCTAAGGGGCCATCTTTAGCTAACAGTGCCTAAGACAAGGCAGAGGGGACAGAGCCTTTTCTGTAGTTGGCCCCAGACTTTGGAATACTTTGCCCCTCCATATACGAACAGCCTCCACAGTGGAGTGTTTTAAGTCTCGTCTTAAGGCCCACTTTTTGTACACTGCATAATCGTGTGGTCATCTGTGTCCTTTTTATTTATTTACTCATTTCAAACTTACTGATTTTTTGTGTGTGTTGAGTTCTGTTTGTTTGTTTTTCTGAACAGCACATTGGAAACATTTTTTGTTTAATGTGCTGTATGAATAAAGTAGATTAGATTGGATTCTCATCAGCTCCTTCAGGTCAGGCAGTCACACTTTGTTCAAGGTGGCAACTTTTTGGGGACCAATCATTTTCTGTGACTGCACCTTGACACTGAAATTGACATCCACTATATTGTTGATTTATAAGTGAATATTGATTTTGAAATTAAAGCTAAACAGTGCTGCCAACTTATTGGTCTTTTCACTACTTTTAGTTACTCCAAGACATATCTATTGCAAAAAAGCCCCTAGCGCCAAATCTAACAACTTTCTTCTGTGTTAATGAAGACTTTAGAGACAACACATAAAAGCCCTGAACT